TTCAGCAGTGAACTTGTGAAAAGTTGTAATGATGATGATGATGATGAATAGTTTATACTAAATATCATGTCATGTCATGTCGTCATACAGTGATGACCTATGGATATGAGAGTTGGTCCTTCACCGCTCGCCGTATGAGGAAGCCACTCACAGTCACTCAGCCAGCTATGGAGAGGGCCACATGCTCGGCGTTTCTCTGCGTGATAGACTTAAAAACGAGGATATCCGCAGTAGAATAGAATAGGATAGAATGATTTTTTATTTAACACCACAGTAGAACCAGAGTAACCAATATAGCCCAACAGAATTAGAATGCTGAAATGGTAGTGGGCCGGCCATATAGCTCGAAAAACCGACAACCGATGGTGAAGAAAGGTTCTCGAGTGGCAGCCTTGTACCGGCAGGCGAAATGTAGTGCGTGACTACACTAGATGACGAACCACGACCTGATAATACATACTCAATATACTATAATTATTAAAATCAATGCGAGCGTTTTTAATCCTTTTGTGCAAAATTTCTACCCTTCATTTGGGCCCCCTAACAAAACAAAGCAAACAATTATCTTTAACAATGTTATATGTATGTTCTGGGAGTGGGAGTAGTTTTGGTGATTTCACTTCGAGCCGTTTGCAGTCAGGCTCTAAAATTCTTGATACAACTAGGATGGTACATAATTTTTCGAACTTCGTTCTAAGAGGCCGAGGGGCTCCTTTAGCTTGGAAGCCCCGGGACACTGCCCCGCCTAGCCGCTGGGTAGCTACGCCACTAGTTAAAATATTACACCCATATTCAAAATAGTATTCCATATGAATCCTTGAGTGATAATAAACCACTATAATTTTAATATAAATGTTTAAAACCGATACCTTTTATCTGTCGTTTTAAATTTTCGCGTGAAAACGCTAGCCGCCATGCTGTTCAGCTCCTGACGTCACTGCTTTAGTAAATAAAACTATTTTGCAAAAGGAACAAGATATTTTTGGATGTTTAATAATGAGTTATCGTCTCTATCATCTCTATCATTGTGCCTGAGTGCAAAAATACGATTCAAGTGCCAACTGATTTAAATATGAGAAATACTTGGTTAAAAATGGCACGAAGAGACCCGAAGTCATTGTCTACAAAAACGAGACTATACTTCTGTGAAGATCACTTAGATGTAAGAATGATTTATATTTAACTATCATTTATACAAAAAAACATCATAATGTGATAGCTATTGTAAGTCAAATTGTGTAAAAGATAAGTTACCTTAGATATAACTAATGGTTGTAATCATAGATAAACATTCTATGTATTATCAAAAGACGCTCTGACCCGGTATTCTGTTATTTTATAAACTTAGAATGTTAATGGGTATTTACTTTGATGTTTTAACATTCCTGAATTCATAAGAATAAAAAACGGGATCACATACAAAAAAATTTTCCACCATCAATGTATTTATATCCTTGGTAGATTAGTACTTTCTGCTTTTACGAATCCGTCTTCCATGATGCCATTTCAATATTACAGAATAAAAGTCAATAATCGTGATGATATTTTCAAAAATTTCTAAATAACACACAGCACATTAGCTTGTTTACTCTATCAGTGACGTCACGACGGAATCTAGATTTGAGGCACAGATTTAAAAAAATATTCTTAAAATTGTATTATAAAATTTTTAATGCATTTTTATAAATAGAAATCAACATTTCTCATTTACTTTTTACAAAATCTAACATAAATATGTATTTTGTTTTTTTACGTGGTGCAAAATACCATATTCCTGTACAATGTGGGCTAATAATACTCCGATCACCGACAATTAACCGATCGACCGATTAACATCGTTAATTGACACTGAGGTAAAGTTTTTTTGTTACACAATGTCATTTAATTGAATAGTTAGTTTTTAATAAAAGTTTATCAGTTTCTAGACGATTATCTTAATACACAAAACAATGCCTCAGTGGTTTGCTCTAAATTTTTCCACATTTTTATTTTCTTTTTAGGTATTTTTCTACTTTTATGAATATCTGTGGATTTGTTTACATATTTATTTTTAATCTTAATAATTTAAAATATTGCTAATAGTACAGAAATATGGAGTGTAAAGTGGAAGGAGAACCATTTTATAAGGAGCGAAGGTTGAAAAAGTGTCCTACTATTTACTGTAAATAGAGGTTCCAAAACCTACCACAATAGCGCTGGCGTCTGAAAAACTACGATATGAAGATAGCTGTTATGAACGGAGTGAAGTCAGCTGAATTCAAATATTTCATGACTAGAGTAGTTAGTAAAACGCCAATATACAAAATCTCAACTATTTACGTAGTACAAAACCAAGCGGATTGATCGGTCCTTATTTATTTCTCCATCTTATTCTAAATACTTTTGGCGCTTCTTTTTTAATTTATCCTATGCTACTGCAGGGCCACCCTTGTTGGACACGTTTTTAGGGACACTTTTCATATACAGAGATGGTCCTCCTTCTACTCTACACTCCATATACAGAAAGAAACATTAAATTTGACATTATTCGAACAAATTAACTTCCCCGCTATGAAATCTGTCAAATATATTATACCTCAATTTTAAGTAGCGCCGCCCTGATGGCAGAAAAGGTCGTGGATGCCCTCATTACTATCACAAACTAATAGGAAGGGCTAGCGCAGTTACTATACTCTTTGTTAGAATTAGCAGGATTACACGTATTTGTGATTTTTTTAAATTCAAATTCTATGCAATTATAACAATATCATAAAATGTAATAATTTTTCCAAATTAATTTGTGTACAAATAATTTTTACCTGCTCAAAAACAAATAGACGGCTAATAAACATTTCAATTGTACATATGGGTTCAATGTTCAATAATGAGGGATTTCTTTAAGAGGTGAGTAATATTTACATAGTACGCACCTATTCATAGTGAATTACGTCTAAATAATACGTTAAACACTAATTTTCACTTTAAAACTTAAGATTTTGCAAATACGCGTATACTATACTACTTCTTGCATTGCCAATCTATTGCAAGCTTTTATTTAACTTAATTTTGAAGCAGATAACTTCAATCGATTGAGCTGAAATTTTGTATACACGTAGTTTGAATGACAATGCACCTGTGTGACGTCATTCCAAATCTAACATGGCGGACTCGTTATTTTTAATGCACTCCTATAATATGGGTTCCAAATGAAAGAGCTTGCTTAGTGTAACTCGAAAAATAAAGTGACATCACTGTAAACCCAATATGGCGGACTAAGTTTTTTATACTTTCCTACAATATGGGTGTCAAATGAAAGGGCTTGCTTAGTATAACTAGAAAAGTAAAGTGACGTCACTCTAAATCCAAAATGGCGGACTAAGGTTTTTATGCTTTCCCACAATATGGGTATCAAATGAAAGGACTTGCTGAGAATACGAATGCGAGTTAACCAAAAATAAGATGGTGATTATTAACTCGGTTGCTCCAATCCGTCTGAAATGTTGGCGTACTGGAGTTATTGCAGTTCTCGATAATGATATTGAGGTCGAATTGTTCGACTCTGTAGCATTGGTTGGTAAACTTTGACTGTCCCATTGGTGAATTGTGCCATTGGATATATTACAGAAATCATATGACCCTACTTCCAGAAAGCACAAATGTATGATACTGATTACTGACATACCGTCCGTCCGTATAGACTTTGGTAAAGACGGTGTTCATCTCATTAAACCCAAGACTGTACAATTTCCAGCAAAATATAGTCACGGCACCGCGGAATTAAGAATGCTGCCAATTATATTATGTGGAGCTTACACAGTACACAAAATGCAGGGTAGTACTGTCGACCATGCCGTTGTATACTTAGGTTCGAAGCTCTTCGCTGCTGGTTAAGCATACGTGGCCTCAAGTATGGTAAAAATCATTGGAAGATCTCCTTATTGAAGAGCTAGATTGTTCGAAATAAACCGACAAACGACCTTGCAACATTGATGCGTTGAATGAGATGATCAGACTGAGAAATCTGTCCAGCGATAACTAAAAAGTAAAAAAAACTTTTTTAAAACAAGCTTTTATTTAAATGCGCTAAAAATAATAAAATAAACTTTTCCTTTAAAACTTTTACTATCAACTTATTTTATATGATATAAAAGCTTGTCGCGAGATTTACCTGTGTAGATAAAAAGGATCCTAATTGATTTTAATTTTTAAAATTTTCAAACTATGTAAATACGAGTAAGTAGAAACGAGTACAAACTTAAATCTCGCAACAAGCTTTTATATCATATAAATTGTGTAATGACGTTATAAGTTGATAGTTTTAAAGGAAAAGTTTATTTTATTCTTTTTAGCGCATTTAACTAAAAGCTTGTTTTAAAAAAAAAGGTTCTTTTACTATTAATTTATTCTAACGTCAGTTTATTTAATATTTATTATATTCTCGACACTATTGAGACTTCTAATAATTTTACAGCATAAGACTGAGCTAGTTTGCTAGTTTAGGTACATGGGGTCCCCCATTGAAGCTTTGAACAGTGGGATCGACAAGGCGCAGTTCTTCCCCATTTAAAATCACACGGGTATTCAGATTTTTTATGTGTAGTTATAAATAGTCTCATATTTCTTTATTAAAATTAATAAATAAAAATAAAACGAATAATCACAAAATAAACTATTTATTTACCTTCTATTACTTAAAAAATACATCGATGTAACACAAATCATTGACCATTGACACAATCTTAGAAATTAATTCTATAATAATCATGATAAATGCATTTCCTTCTTAATGAATTAACTATGAAAATAAAAAGTTTTATATTATTATACTTTTTTTGTTAAATTTATGGTTCGTAAACAAATAATGCAAAAAATGAGCGTCCTGCTGCCATTGCTTATTGTAAATTTGACCGCATCAAAGGCAAAGTAGTGCACACATTGTTATCCTGTTTTACATATTTTACTGTATGTTATTTGAGGTGACTAAAGTAAAGCTTTGAAGAATATGTTTAATTCTACGGAAATCAGAAGTTCCCACGACCGAGATTCGGGTTGCTCTCGTGAACACTGAAAAAAGACAAATATAACAATTAGATACAATCTCAATATTAATAGCACACAGCACAACACAAAGTTAATTTCAGCACAACTTAGAAAAGATGAAATAGAAGTACGTGTTTAGAGCTATCTTCTGAAGTGTCTGAAGTGTGTACCGCAGCTTTGTAGGGAGATTAGTGATTCTTTGTTAAACAAATCAAACAACAAAATCACTAGTCTTCCATACAACGCGCGATAGGCGGCCGGTGCCCGTTAGTCACGAGGAGTCGCACACCTAAAACATCACTTGTTATTCACCACATCAATGTTAGACACAACAATACATAAAAATATTATGTACCTACATAAATAAATTCTCACAATACAAAAAAAATCCCCTACTTTAAGTTCAAATATATAAAATACAATATTTTACGCTACATATAATGTTAGTAAAAATGCCACGTGTTTTGTACTAAAAACGACAAGGTTTAAATCAAATAAATATTATGTATATAAATAAGACTACCTATATTACACATCTACCAACAATTGTCTGCATTTTTACCTGATCATCTCATCCATGCTCTATCTCATCAATTAATTTTATTAATTTTAGTGCGGTTTGGAGCCAAGTCAGGGAACTCTTGGAACATTCTAATGCCAAAGTAACATGTTAGTAATATTGAGAGTATTCTTTAATATACTTGCCCATAGAACATTATGACTGACGACTGATTGATATAATATTTAAAATTGTCATAGACAGTTGCTTGAAATTGAAATATTAATCATTGTGATTGTGATAATCTGAGACTAAAAGTTGTGAGGACTAATTATAAATTATTTTTACGTGTTTGACTGAATTGTTTTAAAATTAATATTACTTATATGTAGGTAAATGTAAATTAATATTTCAAAAATCATGGTTAGGTACGGAATCAAGATTTCGAATAATTTAATTTAAAACAATTAATGTAGGAATTATTTTTCCACTCGTCACTCATACTGTCTAAAGGGCTTTAATGTATTAAATATGTGAACTAATTATTGAAAATGATATATTACTGTTGCTGACATATATTTACAAGCCTCTGACTATTATTTAGTGGAGGTTTGGATTACATAACAACGGCAATAGGCTATGAAGTACATTAACACATGCGTAATATATATCATGCAAAATAAGGTTGTTGTAACATAAAACTAAATTATTTTGTCATAGATCGGACATATTTGTATGTAAACAGACAGAGATGAATAAAAGAGCACCGTATAATATATCCAGCTGCTGGTCTTCAGTATAAATGGGCAGAATAGTTTATTATTTTATTTTTACCATTTCAATCTATTTATATTTTTAAGAATAAGTAAGAGGGAAAATTAATTGTAACGGATGGCAGTTGTTTTAAAATATGTTCATTATTTGTGAATATTTTTTGAAATCATAATTTACTTTATTCCCGAACAGAGTGGATGTGTTTACTTGTTGAACGCATTACTGTAATACCATACTAGTATTGTTCATCTAGTTAGTGACTCAATGGTCGAGCTATAAATCTGTGTATTTGTTTTTGAGCGACTGCTGTTTCAGTGTGCACACATGTGCATCAGGTTAAATAAATTATTTTAAATATATAAATAAAAAACTACATTGTTTTATGGAAAGGCGGGTCATGTTCGTAGATTTCTACATTAAGACAACGCATAAGCTAATTGAAAATTTAATGACAAGTATATTCATATAAGAAAAAGCATTATAATGCAAATAGATACATACTTCACAGTTGTTTAAAGAAATTGGAACATAAATAATAAGGATTGTTATGAATATGATATTTGGTGCAGTATATCAAATAAGTAACAGTTTTAGTTAAGTATATTTTGTATAATTTGCGTTGCTTACATAAATATAATATAATTTTATAACAAAGTAAAATATATATACATAGATAATTAATAGTCACTATATCTCATCTCTTCTGTCTCATCTAATTGATTTTAGTAGAATTGTTATTTCAATTACATGTAAATAACTACTACAATAACAATACGAATGTAAAACTGATATTTAGCTTTATTATATTGCGTAAATGCATTGTTTAGCGTGTGCAGAACATAAATATATCTTTTGATTTAAATTTTTGTTGGCAGTAAAAAATGACAGTGATAGAATGAAGTAATCAGCAAGCGCGATCGTAACCTATTTTTGGATATTTGGTAGTTTTGGTTATGGAACATCATAATAAATAAAAATACATGTGTGTTTATGAAGAGCGTGATGATAATGTGTTTCAGTACAAATAAAAGCGTGATTACCTCTGTTGCAGTAGGTACTGCGCCATCTGTATGCACTGCGGGGAGCCGGTGATGGTGATGATGCGGTCGCTGGAGCCCGGCAGCGGCTCGGCGATCTCAATACCGGCGCCGCTCTCCGCGCGGATCTTTCTGATACGGGATCCGGCTTTCCCGATAATCGCGCCGGCCAGCTGTCCACAACAAAAACGTATTCCTTGTTATGTTTCACTAGACGTGTTATAGGAATCATCATAGAATTCAGGGGATTTTGAGAGTTTATTTATTCACGCTAGTAGGTTTAGTTAGAGATAAGTATATACATGTTTAGTTTTGCATTGTTTGTCCATGTAAATAACGACAAAGTTTTTACTTCATAGTGTAAGATATTTAATAATTAATTGTTATATAAAAATAACATGATTTGGTTACACTAAAAGGATCGGCGACACACAACCCACAAAAGTATTAGTTTTAATTTTTGCATTGAATTACATGTACGAATGTATACGAACATTTACAATTGTACCCGAGTGAGTATTGGTTGAACATTTTTTGCGTAACCAAGTCCTTTATAAGAGACTGGAGAAGGTCTGCGGGCAACCGGCTAGTATTTCAACGTTCAGGGCACAGAGAACACACCGTCATAACTGTGACGCTCACGACTCCAGAATCCTCGTCGGAGCGGCGGCGCGGAGCGCGGTCCGCGGGTAAAGGACGAGGCGCGTACAGCGAACAGTACTGTGCGCGTGTCGGCTTGGCACACTCACGTCTTTGGGTATGGTGACTTGCGTACTCGTGTCGTGCGAGTCGTCGAAGGCGGCGTTGCCGCGGGGGCCGAAACCGGCGCGCGGGGGGCCGCCGTAGCCGGCGCGCGGCGGGGGGCCGGCGTAATCGTTGAACGCACCTCGGGGGCCGGGCGGTGCGGCGCGCGGCGGCGGGGGGCGCGGCGCGCGGCCGGCCGGGGGGCGCGCGCCGCGCGGGGGGCCGCGCCCGCCGCCGCCCGCACCCCCGCGTGCGCCTCCCGGCCCCCCGCCGAACCCGCCGTACTCGTCCGCGTAGTAGTCGTCGTAGTTGTGCGGGTCGTAGTTCTGCACCGCGCCTTTTATAGGCACCTGCGGACCAAACACGACCACATCAACGTCAGGATAATACATGTCATAATGACGGTCTTATGTCATTGCTGTTTATTAGACTTTTTATAAATGCGCCAGCTAGCAAAAGCAACTTTTGAGATGAGAGTATAGGCAAAGAACTTGACCGCCAACGGATTGCTGCTCCTGTATTATCATTTAAATAATGATTTGAAAAGGATTTTATTATATAAAAGTGATGCGATTTCGTGTACTTAATGTCTGCATTTGTAGGAACGATGAAACAAGTGTTCCTATAGTGATGTAAAAACTCCAGTTATGTTGTCTGCTTCGGTGCCTTGAGATACTATGGACATCGACTATCTGCTGGCTCAGGCATCCGTTAAAATTTCCCAAAAATTTCGCGTTGTGAGGCACCAATGTATTATAATAAATAATTCGAAACAAATTATAAAACATTGGCAAAAGTACAACAGTACGAACCATATCCCAAGAAAAAAAATTGATATTTACCCATAAAAACATCAAGTTTGAGCGATTCATCGGGTAGAAAAACTAAAGTAGCTGCAAGGAAGCTTCCAAGTCCTTGGTCTAGGGGTGGGAATCCATTTAAAGCTTTACTCCAAGATAGCATGACCCTTGACATTTTAGGAGCACAGATTCAGTTTGGCTGTGGAGTACTCCTGCCATATAGAGTCTGGTCTGGAACTGCTAAATAACACTAGCACCCTTGGACTCAATAAACAGATTTGCCAAGAGGCTTATGTATATTATATTATTATTAAAATAGGTGACCTGAAAGTGATTGCTACCAAAGTGAAAATCCCGCGAGCCCTAAGTCAGATGAAACTATTAAAATCAAAAGACTAACAGAGCAAACATCACAGAATGTAGATGATATTGTTTAAAATATTTACATAAATTTTAGTGTGTAATGTAGATTTTAACCAATTTTAAAAAGGCAACAAAACGCATGGTGGGTTTCCATTCTTCCATTGTGGATATCGAGAGAATTAAAGAAAAATATAATACCACACCACCATACTTCATTTTCTTATGTCTTCTGCCTTTCCACATAAACATAACATTGACAGACTCATATAATTTGTGAATTGGAAGCTATCCACAATCAAGTAAGTCAAGCATTCTTTGCTGCTTAGTGGTGGTTTAAGAGAATCTAGCACCCCATTTCATCCTGTGGGTGTCGTAAGAGTTGACAAAGACGTATGCCAGAAAGATATTGTGACTCCCGATAGATGGCGTTAAAATAGTGGGCTTTTGCGGAGTGATAAATAAGATAAAGAATATGTTTATTAATTATACTAAAGTTAAAAAAGTTACAGCCTATATATGTCCCACTGCTGAGACTCAGGTCACCCCTCATTTCTGAGAGGTTGCCGACCTTCACATGTATTCGAAAGTTTTTTTCTCTTTTCTCAGATATGCAGGTTTCCTCACGATGTTTTCCTTCACCGCCGAGGACGTAGTAAATTATTATACTTATTAATTATACTATACATAACATTATTATTATTATAGCTATATCATAAATATTTATATTCATTAAAAATTAATAACTTGAAGGATTTGTTAGTTTAGTTACCTTCAAGTTACAATAATACTGCACTAACTAAAGTTAACTAATACTTAAGAAAAATAATGAAGAAGCCGAAACGAATAATGTTAAGAGTTTGTTGTCTAGTCGTGCTACAAACACAGTTGGCTCACATTTGTCCTTATTTCCGGCCTAGCTTTGTTATGATTTTAATACTTTTTCGCTGTAGTCTTCTAAAAGGAAACAAACATATACATCTATAGGACTTATTTAGGCCTGCGAGAGAACGAAAATTAGATTAAATAAGTCGTATTTAGACGACCTAATTCTATTTTACGTACCACTTTCAGAGTCAATCAGTTTTTGTACAATAAAATCACTTTACCTATGGAATGAAGTAGATGGCACAATTACAAAGTAATTTTACTCGAAACATATTATTTTGATTTATTACATCAAAATTTAGGCTCGAATGTCTAAAAAAATTATTGTAACATTTATTTCCTTAGGCGAGGCTCAAAAAAATGTACCTTTTGAAATAACAATCGCGGCCATTTGTTTACACCTAATTTTTAGTATTTTTTTAAGTTTCTTTTTTATAGAGTTTTATTTGTTGTATTAAAATGAAGACATCAAAAAAGAGTTGCAAATGGAATTCACAAATCTTCAATTTAAGCAATATTTTAGTTTATAAAACTTTCAATCTTCTTTTTTGCTCCATGTCCAAGGCCTGTCCGCCGACAATGTTTTAATTTTATTTTTTTAATTACGCCTTTATTGTTATTTCTTTTAACCTTCATTGTTAGAATAGGAATTAATTTATAGTATTTTGTCTGAAATTCTTGCAAAATCTTATAATTTCTTGCGAAATCACAAATTTAAACAAGTGTCCCTCATAATTTTCTAGTGCGTTACGAGTAATGTGTTACACACTTACATGGTAACTTTCGTAGTTTAGTGCTAATCACATTAGAACTTGTTTTGTAGGGTGACAACACCTTATAACAACAACATCTGTCAAGTGTCAATTTAATGTCAGTCATTTTAGTCTAGCTACAAAAGTGGGTGTATTTGCAGTGTCCCTCTTGTTCATCGAAAATATTGGATATTAAACAGAATTTTCAATGTATGTGTTTATCTTTCATTATATGAAGCATATATAATTTTAAAAAAACATGTTGAAGTCGCATTTTATGGATTTCTTTCTAAAATTTCTTTGAATTTGCGGCTACTTTAATCATATAAACACAAGAATCTTCTCGCGTGTTCGGTCTGGTGTGTTATGTTGTGTTACATAACACACTGGATAGCATTAAGCTTAGTTCACATTGTCTTTACCCGACTACAATAGAGCAAAAAAACGGGTATAAAATTTTTGCTTGAATGTGAATAAACATGTATATTATGCAATTATAATTGTGTCTTCTCTTCTGTGGCCATAGAAGCACCCCAAATAAATCTTAACATAGCAAAATATACCTTAGTCTAAATGGGGAAATACGTCATATTCACTATTTTGATATAAGTTTAAAATTTCTAACATTAATATGAAAACAAAGTTCCTCTTTAGGTTTAATAAAACGTTACAATTTGAGTGATGTTTATTTCCATTTGGGTATGAGTCAGAACAACTAAGAATTAATGCCAATATTTATAATAATGTTATTTGTACTCGTAAATATGGTAAGATTTTAATAAGTTCTAGTACAATATAGTACTGCCTTTACAGAGTTCTAGAGCGTTACGTGTTGCTTACGATTTTGTGTTTCTTTTTAGAACGTTATGGTACAAATTTTGTGAGTCCCACTCCCTCAAGAATATCACCTACTTAAATATTAATTATCTTTATACCTGTCTCTTTCTATTATCATTTTGAACATATTTTAACTAAACGTCGTTTTTTTTATGAATATGGCCGTAAAATATTTGACATACTGTTGCCCAAAGCGTGTAATTCCTAAAATTCGGGCACATCATCGTAACTTATTTAATCAGAGTTAAATCCAAGGCCCACAACCATGTAACACTCTATTCTCAAATTGTTCATATTGAAACAATTTATCTAATTGAATTTAAATTCACGTTTAAAAAGGCAGAGTCGCACCTGGCGGATGAGCTCGAGCACTTCCCGCACGCCGGCCGCGACGGACTCCTTGTTGCCCATCAGCTGCACCACGCGCTCAGTGCTCTGAGGAGCCGTGCTCGAGAATATCTTCAGCCGGGCGCCAGTTTTCTGTAATGTCACATCATATATTATTATGTACAAAAAAAACGAATTTTGAAACTATACGCATTACTTGATGTAATAAGATTAATAAGTTAATTATATAATAAAATGTTATGATTATAAATTATTTTGCCTTTTAAAAACATTAAAATTAGAAGTGTGCTAGATAAATAGAATAATGGAAGCATAGTTTATTTTATAGAAAAAGCAAATGATAATATTATTTGTGTTATAAAATATAAAAACAACTCGAATCAATGTACATTTTATAAATCAAAGTAATGTAAATAAGTAATAGTAATCAACAATCATAATATACAATAGAATAAATACAGGCTATGCTTTTCAGTACCTACATTCAAAAAAACAATCTAATTAAACAGTAATATTCATAAAACTTATTCAATTATTTATTTAGAAGCCTGTCGTGTCAAACGCATTTAAGGGTTACTCCGAAATCGACGACAATCAATTACTGATATTGGATAACGTCAACGAAATTAGGGCACAGAGGTCAACGACTCAGTCTACGTGTCTCTTCTAACGTGAGAAATAATGTAATGTAATGTAACAACGAAGGCAACGAGATGAATACAATCTGAAGGATCATACTGATGGTTTGTATGAGAAGTTACATAATTGTTCAAGTGGTAAATAATTAATTTGAAGGTAAAGGGCGAAATAATGTTATGATGTGTAGAGATAAGAAGAGCGCAAGCGTAGAGCCATCGACCAACGCACGTGGCCGGAGCCGCCGGCACACAGAGTTCACACAAACTACACCTAAACAATAATACAGGGCACAGCACAGGTCGCTAACGCCACCGAAACACTAGTAATTTCATTTTTTTAAGTTGCAGTCATTCTGTAGACTTTAACGACATCCAAAAACTTGAATATCGTTCGGAATATTAAAATCAATGAAGCACCTTTCAGAACCACAAGATTGAAGTACCCAACTTAACACAAACACACACACCCACATAGACAAAAATATACACTTAAAACATATTGTTATATTATGAAACTATTAAATTTAATTTTATATAAACTCACACATGTAAAAAAATCTGCAATACGTAAGTATTTAGAACTAGCCACCTTTCAAAAATCATTGCGTTGTAATATGATTTAAATATAATTATAGCACGTATTGTTTCGCGATGTATTTCTCGAAAAGTAAAATCCATGAAACAGAGACGTCCGATCCCAAGGGAGTCCAGAGACTAAGTAAGTAAGTGAACTGGAGCCTGAACGGGCGACAGCAAAGCATAATAGAACACCTGTGAAATCCCCCACCTCTCCAAACTCGTAAGTTGTAAGGCTTTACACGCCTACATCGCGAAGACCGACACTTGAACGCAGCGGTTTTCACATAGGCAAAATGACAGATCGCCCCTATGCAGCGTTCAAGATAAATTACTCAATGCAATCCAAACAATTGCTAGATACGATTTCATGCGACAAAAACGTAGTAATCTTGATTTTTAGGCGCTAGTAGAACATACCTATGCGCCTTGCGCTTACGGCATGCAAAAGCTACAAGTAAATGGATCTAGCAAAAGTAAAAAATCTGATTTCTCATAATCTACACTACATGTACCTCATCAAACGTTACGAATGTCATACTAAGTTTATTTTTTTTTGATTTTACAAACCATTGAAAATGTTAAAATAGTTGTAAATAAATATTAGCAACAGAAAAATGCTTCAAGCGTTTTTATTTTTTATTTTATTAACTATAAGGGATATGTAAACCGTAGAAACTTTTGATTTAATAGGTGTTTTAAAATGCTACTTAAATGTTCTTATGAGCGGTATACGAACGAAAATATTGAACGATGGTCGCAAGACTGCGTACAAGTCAATACAGGAATGGCAGTAAATATGTGATGCTACGAAGCCATATCGCGGCGGGCGCGCTTCGATCGGAAGCGGAAGCGGGCTCGCGTGCCGCCATAATTGCCGGTGTCACTGCGACGGTCCTCTGTCCCCTTTGGGTAATTATGCCCAGGCGACATGCATTCGGCCGGCATGAAACACGAGCTTACTTACACGGGAACAACTTTATAATATAATATACTGTCGTCGCAGAATTATTTTAAATATTTAATTTGACACATGACTTTCAAAGATAGAACATACACATAACGTTAATATTTCAGTGCCTGGTTGGTTTACTTAATATTTTGTAAATATAGTTAAGAATTTTACTATTTTTAAATTCACTTAAGTTTTATTAAGCATTTTGTAACGCACTGAGCGTGATAGTGCAGCGGAAATCGGCTCTAAATGAAATCATTTGTTTGAGTAAATCAAAATTTCATCAATAGCCGTACTTTTTGTCCTATACATTAGAGGATGTGGAAGAAAGTCTACAAAAAACTTCTCCCCTCGCCACGTGCTTCGTAGTAACTCGAGCCCGGCGTAGCGCTTCCGACGGATGAAACCCCACCAACACGTGTTGCCTTCCTTTCAGTTAATAAACACCTAAACACAAACCACAGTTTCCCAATCGGCGAGACTCCCTGATTTGAACGTCCAATTCAAATCGTAAAACTACTAGCGGAACCTAACTATCTGCTTGACAACATGACAACTGGAGTACCTATGATTACTTAACCATTTCACTGTTCCGTGAGTCATATATGAACATTTCGATTGTTTAACTATTGTGTCTATTTCGCGGACAGGGAAGTTGTTAAATTTGTACGACTTTGTTGACTTGTGCATTTGCGATATTTGTTATCTATCGAATCACATCGTTCCGAAGATGGTCAACTACTGCAGACTTCTCGCGGCATCTAAGTTTCATGTCAGGCAATATGAAATCCATTAACATTTCTTTATGGAACTGAAGTCTTATAGTTTTTGCTATACATTTTAAACGTTGGTAATGCTTTTTGAAAAATAAAATAATATTATAAACAAAACTAAACCATTCTAATTTTAATTCCAACCAAATTCATCTTTGTGAAAAATCCTTTATAATTCCTAACAAAGATGGAAGAACTCAAAGTGTAAAAAAAAACCGAAGCAAGAGCGAGGTCGAAACCGAATGTTACCTGCAGGCCGCATAGGTAAATTTTAATTCAGAGCGCGGCGGCCGGGACCGTGAGGCATATGTTCGAAATTTCTATTTAACGTGTATAGAGAGAGGAGCCCTTATGACGGGGCATTGTGCAAGTAGGTAGGACCCAGGTGCGCGGCCTTCCGGCGGCTGCGCGAGCACCTGCCGTCGCCGCAGCTGGCGCGCACGCGCCGCGCTCTAGCGTTGCACGTTCACACGTAAGCAGTGCCCCGAGTGCCGACCCGACGTCGCCCGCCAGCCTCGTGCGGGTACGACAGTGTGTCTTCCAAGTGGCCATTTGCCTTTTTTTTACGATTTATACCAATCTAGAATCGTTTAAAATATGAGGAAGAAATAAAGATAGATTTATGTATTAAGTTTTGAGGTAACATCTTTCTGCTATAGATTTTAATTCGTTCAAAGGCATTTTTGGCGAGTTTAAAATCTTAGTGTATTCAAGAGTTACTCAGTGTACTGTTTAGATAATCAGCCGAACTAGATTCAGGATGAAAACTAGTGGTAGATACGAAGTGAGGCAAAGTGCAGCACTCCTGCACAAAAAGGTACGTGTTTAAGTGGCTACGAACAACCCGGTGCTACTCGCAAGATGCACAGTTACACAAAGTAATCATAAAATCTATCCCGTTAACATTGTCGAATAAAGTAACATAATATGAAAAGCAAGGGCTCGGTTTAAATATGCGAAGCATACTTTTCATGTGTGTCACGCAGGTAAGTTCAGTGACATTGTTCGCGATGAATTGATGAAACCATAAAATCGAACAAAGGGATGAAGCTATAGAGCAGTTGATCGATAACAAAGAGAAGCACATTGAGTGATACACAAAAAAAAATGATATTTTTCAATAAAAATTCAGGATAACACAGACCGACAATTTTCGTTACAAAAGCTCTACGCAGTGCTGATTATGGTAACCCTAGTCGGCTTCAACCAAGGCGATGGTAATTTTTAGATTTGACCTCATAGTGCCGCAATTTATTGAAGGACATGATCTGCCTGGTATTTTCCAAAATTGCTTCCCCAACACCGTAATAGGGCAATGGATTCTCAAGTTAGTTATTATATCTATGCGGAATTAGTACAAATGGCATATTTCTCTGTGCAAAATATTGGTTTTATAATCATGGATTCTCATTTCTAACCACATCAAAATTAGCAGCCGCCTTTAAAGTAAGCAGCAAAATGATGTTGATTAATGGTACGAGTTGGAGCCAGAGAAGGCAAAACCATGCCCTGAACACAAATTGAGCTAAAAGAGGCTATAAGGCGACCCTGCGCTGGTATTATTAAAATTGTTAAAAGTTGCAAACGATGATGGACAAGCACGCTATCTAACAACTGAGATTTATCAATTAAACGCTCGTCCACATTTTGCTTGAACGTCTCAGGTCCAAATATGAAGTTCAAACGCGAAACGGAACTACATACTGTTTTTATATTTTATTTATATTTGTAAATTTAAATAAAAGAGCTTCGAGAAAGTACTTTGGCATAGCTAGGAAGAGGCCTATGTTCAGCAGTCGATTTGTTATGGTTGTATGTTGTAATGATAATCATGATGATGAAATATTTGCATTCCCTGAAAGTGTTAGCGCTTGACTTTTGTTTATACGTATTTTGTTCATACGCATTATACACCTTTTAATGTAATTATACGATTTCTGCAAATAAATCATTATGCTCATAGTCTTTTATTTTTGCACATTGTAATCTACGCTGTATTCCTTACATAGTGCGGTAAGTATTCATGCACTTTTGTTAATTTGTATAATTTCAAATGATATAATTGTCTGTAACAAGCCCTAAATAAAGTCGTTATTGCAGATTCAACCCTCTAACAAGCTATTTCTAGCGTCAAGTAATGTCGAACATTTTATAATGGAAATACGTTTAGAGCATCAACGAAAACCGTACAAATAGCTGCTCGAAGTGTAAAGTTTTAAAACGCTATATGGATAGGCGAGATTGCGAATTAGCCGCTTCGTGGCCAGACGTTTTAAAATTTTCATGGCGGAGTTTGGTGCGCGGTAATTGATCCACAACTAGCTTCCACTCCATAGTTAATGTTGTTTGTCCTAGTGAGTCAGCGGGATGACAAATTACCAGTAATTTAAAGTTTTATAAAGTAAGCCCCGGATTCGCTAATAAATTTAATGCTAATTGCAGAAGTTTTAAAATTTTATACAAGCTTGAATAATATTCTGACAATGTTATTTATATCATAATTAACATGAGGAGTCCAGCATCTCGTCCTGTCCTGTCTGTCCTGTTTCGTAAAAGACGACTATGGCTAAAAACTTAGACACACACACCTCAGTCTCCAATAGAAGTTGGTATAACCGTAACAATACGGTAGTTTTTACAATACAAAAAGATAATACTAAATTTGCAATATAATATCTAATATAATCAAATTCAAGGCTATTTCGTTTTGGATATAATAAATCCATTACTTGGCACAAAACCAACACGATATAAAATTGTCCCAAACGTGAGCTTTGGTGACGACGATCGAGCGAACAGCAATATCAGACGGAAAAACCTGATCAATAGTTACCACTAATAATGGTTAATTACTTTTTCACATTACGTGTCGTGAATGAAAGGGGCACCGTAAATATCACACTATATTGTTTTTAATATTAGATCTGTGTTTATAATGAGTTAAATGTTAAATGAGTGAGTCCTATGCAACATCCGCCGATGAAGATAAGACGTGGAAGGAGGCAGCTGCTTTCACATCTGCCCCTCATCCCGGCGTTGCAACACGTGGCCGCGAGCGCACTCATACAAAAAACATCGTGTAACAGTGCATCGCTCGGATGATTAGGCCGGCCGCATTCAAGGCATCCACCATCTGCTTACCACCTTTCGTTACCTGTGTTACGTACGGTTGATAGCTAGCGCGGCTGAGCGAAACAGAGAATTAAAATTTATGTTTGAACCAACGCCGTTTTACACGTTTAAAATAGCAAATAAATTTTTTATCAATTTATAATTTTAGAATGGCAATCGAGCTAATAATAGTCGTGTAGTAGTAATGTAGCCTATTAACACTTGCAGCCAACCTTAAACAAAGAAGTCTACGCAAGCGCAATCACCCACGAAAATTAACATGGAATGTCTTACAGATAGAAAAAAGAGACCTTAAAAGATCTATTAAAATTCAAAGCCAATAGATAAATAGGCGTGTTTGTATACGTACTTCAATATCTTAAATTAGGACTAGATTTGCATACAAAACGAAGTTCTGAAGGTACTGAGAACATTGAACGAGCTGAGGTACAGGGTGGAGCCTTAAATTTGTAGTAAGGAAATATTACATCATCATCATCTTATTATATTTATTTATTATCATCATCGTTGTTATCGAGCTTTCTTATCGTCCTGCTGGGCAAAATGAATTGACGATCGTAATAACAGACTTTATATTTAGGATATAACTAGGATATTTTACGCCTGGCCTAATCGAGATGGTTATATATATATAGCCATAAGGTTTTTAGTACGTCAGAACATGCTGATCCCTGACACCACCACCGCACAAAGATTCCATGCATTCACTTAAATTATGAGTTGAATAACTATTCATTTTTGTTTTTGTTGGTAAAACACCGCCGTGAGGAAATGTACATAAATATGAGTGAACTTTACCCGATAGCAAAAGCAAATCACAATCAAAAATTCAACAAATGTCACACTGTTGCATAGGCCTATCCTAGGAGATTTATATCATTTCATTGTTGAAGTTTAGTCGACTTTAAAAAAAAAGAAATTCCCAATTTGACTAAGAGAGATTAATGTATGTATGTATGTTACACGAACTATTTCTCAATTATGAACTAATTTAAATGGTTCTTTTTTATTAATAGGAAGGAAGAGGTCCTTAATTTGACCATAAATATTATGAATGTTGTGTTACACGACCTTTTTCTCAATTATGAACTTTTTTTTAATAGGATAAGGGTGACAAGCGAGCACACAGTCCACCTGACGATGAAGGTGTTTTCCAGTAAAAACGGTCTCCGGTTCTCTACACTTACCATACGAAACACAGCAGCATTAAGCTGCTATTTTACGCTGGTATTCTGTGAGAGCGTGGTCCTTTCCCGGTCGAACCGACCCATTCGTGCTACAACTATACAATTCATATAGCTGCAGCATGGCTCTACTACGTATAATAACTGATTTAAATGGTACTTTTTTTATTAATTAGGAAGAAAGAGGTTCTCAATTTGACTGTTTGTTCTTTGTATATATGTTACACGAGACTTTCCTCAATATGAACCGATTTAAATGATTCTTCTTTAATTAAACAGGTTATATTCTTCAGGGTGACCCAGTATAAATTCAAAATGTCCACCCCAAAAGTTAGAAAAATAGGTGATGAAGTTTTTAATATAATTATGACGACAATCGAGCTTGATATTCCTTTATCCACTCAGAAGGGTCAAAGAATTAAACTTTTAATAAAAAGAAGAAGCTGACTTCAAAATATTAAAAATAATTACCACAAATACTACTTCAGTGACTTCTGAAGCTTATATGTGGAAATTATTTTACTCTTTTTATTTCTTTCAAGGCGTTTGCTACTTCTTAATAAAAGTCGAATTTGATAAGCATTCTTAATAAATGCCGACACCCTCGCACTGGCAGTGCCGATACCAGTCTAGTTAAGGTTTGACATTTTATTTTAGGATTTTTCTCCGCCATCAGTTGGTTGCTAGAACCTCTTCGGAAAGTTACCCGCGTGCAGGTGAGGTTTAAATTTGACTAAAACTAAATTAAGAAATTTTTTACATCTGAACTCATTGAATGTGAATGTGTTCATGTGTGTCCTCTTACGTGCAGGGTAAAAAGAAAATGTCTCTCCAAAGAACGTACTTAGCAATTATATTTACAACCAACGCATCCAGGACAATCGGCGAGTTTCTATATAACAGTAATAGCTCAAATAAAGAGTAAGATCGTTCGAAGTCCATTTAGTACTAAAATTCTAAGCAAATTTTTCGTTTAATAAAACTAATTTTACGGATTTTATGGCGTTAAATTACCTTTGTACCGCAAAATTGGCTGTAGCATTAGTTCAAGTAATATTCGAGTAAATTAAAGAAATTCTTTTGGTAAATGTAGTAAAAAAGCAATCTATATTCGTAGCGGTTACCAATTTCAGGAAACGAACGATAGGAAATAAGTTCAGTGCAGGGATTAAACACAATTTAATTATACATTTTTTATAGGAGGGGGCAAACGAGCATACGGCTCACCTGATGATAAGTGACTACCGCCACCCATGAACAACTGCAACACCAGGGGAATTGCAGGTGCGTCGCCGACCTTTTACAAAGGGGTAAGCTCTTTTCTTGAAGGTAGGGGCTAGGGACCTTCGTCGTGAGTCGTATCGGTCCGAAAAAATCGCTGGTTCGCTAGGTATTCCATAGAGGTCGTACGCAGAAGAAAACTCCTAGTGAAACGTACAGTAGTGGACCGCCAAACATCCAGATGGTGTGGATGGTATCGGGAATGATTTCCGTTATTAATATATTTTTTTTACATATAGCAATTATTTATTGACAGGTAAAGAAAATCCTTCAGTTCATTTCAATTTTTTGCTGTTGTTTTGGATTGTGGTTTGTGACTACAATTACAAAAACAAAGTATTATAATATAAGTATTGTATTGTTTATTTACCTGCACTCAAAACCCCATCAGAACTTCATTATTATCAAACTGTTGCAGTCCGCTGCTAGATATAGGTATATGCTAAAGCCTGCCGTTCGGCTTTAAAATTAAGTATTAACTTACCTCGCGCAGTTCCTTGATCTTCGCTCCAGCTTTGCCGATGACGCAACCCGCTCGGCTCTGGTGTATCAATAGGCGAACGTCCAGATCCTCGTTACCGCCTCCTTTGGGTCCACCCTAATTAATTATAATAGGACTATTATAATAAATATGTCAGATACAGAGGGTAGAAAGTAAAAGCGTAAGGGTAGATCATAGAACTCCACTCGTAAGAGCAGTACAAAGTGCAGCGCAGGGCTTGGTACAGTCAGTGTCAGTCATTCTACGAGTCTTGATCAGAGGCGTGGTTCCGTCCGTTGTGTTAATTATTTTTGTACTAGCAATGTAGTCGTATTGCGGGGAGGCTGTCCTGTGTCACATCGAGATAAGCAGTTTGTTTGTATACTTAATTTATTGTGACTTTATCGTGTATTCGTCCATCACGTTGCACTAATATGTATTATAGTCGAATTGTCACTGCGCTACAATGAATTTGTAAGTACGATACGCTCTTATTGCAGGTAATGAGCTAATGAGTAATTGCGTACGCAAGAGAACAAGTAAAACATCCATTCTCACAACACGTAAATTTTAAAAATAATTTTGGTATTTTTAAAATTAGCCCCTGTTTTTCAAGAAATATACATGTATGTATAATCTTTATATATAAAAATTACGTGTCACGTTGTTTGTCCGTGAAGGACTCTAAAACTACTGAACCGATTTCAATGAAATTTTGCACACTGTGTGCAGTTTGGTCCGACTTGAGAGATAGGATAGTTTTTATCCCGCTAAATAACCCTCAAATTTTTTTATTGCGAATTTAAGGATTTGTATAGGAAGGGTCGTTGGAAAGGGCAGGACAACGTCTGCCTGGCGAGCTAGTAATAATATATGTATGTGTTTGGTTTATATATTTATATTTACTGCCAAATATAAGCCTCCGCGAGATTGCTTCATAGAGGAGATTTTCTAAGGCTGGTTTTTAAAGAAAACTACTTTTTACTCAATTTTTTTTAACTGTGGTAGAGCCACGTGGCGGCTTTTGCTGTCGCACGGATGGGCCGTCTCGAACCGGGGTGGTACCACGACCTCACAGAATACCAGCGTGAAGTAGAGATTTACCTCTGCGTTTCGCTTGGTGAGTGCAGGTGGCCGGAGGCCCTTTTTACTGGAAATGAGGCTTTCCATCTTAGTCCTCACGGGTGACAACGCATCTGCATTTTAATTTGTAATAGAGGATAGATGTAGATGTCTATGGGCCGCAGCAACCACTTACCATCAGGTGGACTGTGTGCTCGTTTGTCACACGTATCCTATAAAAAAAATTTTGTGGCGCGGATTCCCGAAAATTAATATCGACTCTAAATAACTTTTAATCCATTTTTATTTAATTATCTACTTTCCTGGACATTTTTAAAGTATTGTTAGTACTTGTTTGTTGTGTTTCTTGGATCACAGGCTTAATTGTGAGTCGTTTGAAAGACAAAGGACCTGCCAACCTGTTTCGTCAAGAGAAGGCCTCGTTCTGGAAGAAAGTCACGGTCTGACCGTTTTCTGGTGCGTCAAGCGTCAAGTCAAGCAAGCAGAAAGTAAGTACGTAAGCACAGAGTTGTCAGGCTTTGCTTCGCTCAAAATTGTGTGTAAGGGACTCTAGAAGAATGGGACAGGGTAATGTTCTCCGATGAAGCCAGAATATCTTTCTAAGGTGAAGAACGACGTCGTCGAGTGCTACGAAGACGAGGAGAACGCTTTCCAGAGGCATGTTTTGAAGAAATCACACCTTATGGTGGAGGCTCTGTTATTTTTTGAGCAGGAATAAATTCGTTAGATCGTACTGAGTTAGCCTTCATCGAAAACGGCACACTGATTGGACACCGATACGTAAAGCCTCACGTATAATCCGTATTGGCAGCTCTTGGAAAATTAATTTTTATGAACGACAACGCTCGCGCCCACGTTTTGGCATTGTGTTGACCTATATGCTAGGGGTCAGAATTAGTAGTTTGGATTGAACAGCTCGAAGTCCCGACCTAAATCCGACAGAGCATGTCTGGAACGAAGTGACGAGTAAGATCAGTGGCAGCCGGCTTCGCAGACCATCACAGAGCTAATGTTACCGCGGAGTGGGAACGTATTTCGCAAGAAACCATAAGATATACTCGCTAGCATGTTCAGACGAATGCAAGCTGTGATTTCAGCAAGAAGGGTCACACTCCATACTAAACTTTTATCTGCTTTTACTTGATTAAAGAAAAAACAAACAAAAAAACGTGTTTAATTTCTACTTAACGAGCAGGTACACTAGCAGATACGCTTTAAACTTAATCATTATTTCTTATTTATTTTCATTAATTTCATTTTCATTAATCACCTTGCTAATTAAGTTACTAAACTCTGAGTGTCTTAAATTATCAAACAATCTAATAGTAACAATAAAATTGGTTATTTAACTTACCTCTTGTAAACTTGGTAGGATATCTTTTACGATTTCCAAAATAGTATCGATATCTGACGCTGATATCGATAGAACTCTGAAAAATAAAAACATAATTAATACATTCTGAAAATATTTTCAAATGCAAGAATCTCAACATAAAAATGATAAATGAAATAATATATCAACGGTCAGGGAGGTCTGTTTCCGGGCAATATCAAAGTTTAAAGCATGATGGTGATGATAAGAACTTCGATAATATATTGTTTGTGACGGTTCCCTATAAGGAAAAAAATATTTCATACATGAATTAATAAGTAATCCTTTATGGTCACTTATTATGCAGCTACTAGTGGAGTAAGACGACATAGGTCTCTGAAGCATTGTTAGGCGCTGTTATGTGCATCTTTGTTTTTGTGATGGGGTAAAGGTGTGAAGCATCTAACGCCGGATGGTTGCTCAAACTCCTGACTGTTGACGATTAGAGTATAAAGGTGTCAAGTTCGGGTACAAAGTTTGAGAGTAGTTTGTCGGTTTACCGTTCGGGGCCGGGGCAATCTGGGACTGTTATAGAGGCTTTGTACTGCGTGGCGGGGCGGCGGGTGAGGCAGCGGCGTCGGCGGGGCGGGACCGGCAACCAAGACTTGCTGTAGCGCCGCGCCGCGCGCCTCCAATACTACAACGCCCTAGCGTCTGGCCGTTTTCGACTTGCGTGCTTTTGTTCGGAAGCTTTTGCTTGTACACGGATAACTTGAATTATACTCGACAAGCCATGGGATACGACAAACTATATATTATACTATATAAGTAAGTTATATTATTATAAAGATACATTTAATTTTTATTTATTTTGGTATCAGCTATTTTAATGTTAGAAGTTAGACTCATCTTGTAAAAAACTTGTGTATTTAGTATTAGAAAATGTTTTAATCTGCAGTTAAAATCAAAATTCTACGAAAATACCCAAGATCGTATCAAAAGTATCCGTGCACTATCTTGCCTGTTAGGCATACCAGTCGCAAAACGGCCAAATGCTTAAGACGTGCATGGAGGCGCGGGGCACGACACATAACTAGCCACAGAGGCTTCTCGGGGGCGTTAAAGACCTGTAACTGGCTGCCGGGGGGTTATTCTGTCTACAGCCTACGGACTAGCCGCTGGCGCATGACACAGTGGCCCAAAGGCCACAGCTCACGCTCTGCATCAATTCTCTTATTTCCAACAACAATGTTTGTTAAACGAAAATAAAATATTAAAGGCTCACAAGATTATGTTTTGATATTATGTTAAATTTAACTCTGTTAAAACCCATTAGAAGCAGCGAGCGGTACATTTTAATCATAATGATTGGTAGACGATTGCACCTGTGGCGAAAAAAATGTTATTTCTATTAAGTTAATATTAAGTTCATGATAAACGCAAAAATATAAAGTTATATGACAATTTACTTACTCTAGAGCTTGAGACAAATAAAATCTATAGTTATCATAGTAATGCTTTATCAATTAAATAAATATTACATAACGAAAAGTAATTCAAGACTATATGCATGAACAAAGCAAAATCTCAAAATTAACAAATAACGTCTTACTTAAATAACAGTGTAATAATTTCTATCGAAATAGTCTTCTTTAAATACCAAGGAGAGTGCATTTACTGTGATTAAATTTAATACTGACCTCGTTCCTTAGCTTGGAAATATTCGAGCCACCTTTTCCGATAATAGACCCCGCCATCTGTGGGGTTGCCAACATATTGAAACTTCAAGAAACATTCAATTATACAAGTAGGAAATTTAAAATATTGTACAAGACTTCAATATGAATATAATTTGTTGGTTTTTTAAAAACCGCTCGACCGATTTCGATGTTTATGTTTCAAACAAACAAAGAATTTTTCAGGCGTTTTGTTCAGGCGTTAAAACGCTAACAAGTACTTCGTTCAAAAATAATTGTGCATTTGGATATTTCGTTCATAACAGTTTCGCTTGTTCCATCTATCCATTACAGCCTATAAAAGTCCTCCTCCATAGGGGGGGATTTTGCCATAGTTGCAAGTGTCAAGCAGGCAATTGGTAACGGCTGGTTGTTGGTGGTATATGTATATAACATTAAAAATATTCACAATATGCCATTTACATAACGCGTATTAATTATTGATAGTGTAGGAGATTGCGACAAAATTGTTTAAGTCGATGAGGTGCAATAGGCTTATGTCATATGTACGTAAACGTTATTTTTCGTAATTATTTCATTACAAGAAATGTACCCCATAACGAACTCGATCGAAGTTTCTTAAGTACAAGAATAAGTGACTACCTTAAATAAAAACTTACTTTGCTGGGTATGAGAAAAGTAACTTCATCATCGTGCTGCCGCTGCCGCTTGTGGACAGGGCCGTCGTCTCCATACGCGTCGCGCTTCATGGGGCCCGTCTACGACAAACATTTCTTTATAAAGTAGTATTCAAATGACTTGTGTCTAAAAGAGATTTTTTAAATTCTAAAATAGGTAACAATGACTAGCAAGACTAGCTTCATAAACTCATTGTTTCATAAAATACCAACTTTTGCCCGTTCACCAATTTGAAAAATAACAGCTCATTTTGACCTTCATTATTTCAGTAGTTGGAAATAATATTTATGTTGCGACACCCCAATACTGAATGTCAGTTTCTGTTTACGATTTATTTCTCTTATGTCATGTTACGATTTATTGATTTATGATCTTTACAATGAAAGATTATAATGGGTGTCCGGTGGCAGAATTAGGATTTAAATTTCGAACTGTTTTCGAACCGTTAGCGGAGGGGCGGGCGGGGGGGTCACGTTCGATTCGTCATTCGTGCGGGTTCCTTAGTCACGATGTCGCAGTGGACGGGTGAACAACGTGCGTTCGCAATCGAAGCTTATTTTAAAGCAAACGATTCCTGTGCTATTGCTCGTCGAAGATTTTGTTCGCGGTACAATATCCGACGGTTACGTGATGCGCCAAGCGAAAATTTGATTCGATTGTGGGTGCGGAGGTTCAGAAAAACAAGTTCAGCAGCAAATAATCCGCGGCCGGGATCCAGCAGAACGTCGAGGACTGATGACAACATCGAACTTGTCGCAAACAGTTTACGCGATAACCCGCGACAGTCCGTGCGTAAGAGAGCGGCTGCTCTAGGGCTCCCAAAAACGATTGTGCACGAAATATTGAAAAAGGACCTTAAACTTCACCCCTTTAAAATTCAAATTGTGCAAGCGCTTAAGCCTAATGATTACAATTGGCGCAAAAGTTTCTGCGAAACAATGTTGCAGCGATTTCGTACAGTGAACACAATCTTTTGGAGCGATGAAGCCCATTTTCATTTAAATGGAAGTGTAAATAAACAGAACTGCCGTTATTGGTCACCTAAAGGACAGAACCCGCGATTGAAACATCAACAGCCACTTCACAGTCCCAAAGTGACGGTTTGGTGTGCATTGTCAAGCAGAGGAATAATCGGACCCTATTTTTTTGAAAATCGTCAAGGACAAGCCATTACTGTAACCGGCGTTTCTTATCGGCGAATGCTTAACGATTTTTTCCTGCCAATATTAAGAGAACATCCTGCCTACAGTTCACAGACATGGTTTCAGCAAGATGGCGCCACGCCTCACACTGCTAGAGAGACCATGGCGCTTCTTCGTGATTTGTTCCCTAACAAATTGATAAGCCGTTTTGCTGACATCCCCTGGCCACCCAGGTCGCCGGATCTTACCCCCATGGACTTTTTTCTGTGGGGGTACCTCAAAAGTAAAGTTTATGAAACCGCCCCACCGACCATCTCAGCATTAAAAGAAAATATCGTTCGCGAGGTTAATGGCATCCCGACGTCCCTTCTCCAGCGAGTGGCGCGCAATACTGAAGCCAGATTCCAAGAGTGTGTCCGACGTGATGGTCAACATTTAGACGAAATAATTTTTAAGAAATAAAACCCGCACTTCCCTTCTTTGTTATAGTCATTGAAATAAAAAAAAATATTTTGCAGTTTTTTTATTATTTAATTTTGAAATCCTAATTCTGCCACCGGACACCCGGTATATAATCATAGTGTTTCATTTAGAGAATATGTAAAAAATTATTCCAAAATTTTTAAAAGAGTGTGGTGTGCAGTCAAGTATTTAAGAAACAAAATTAAGAATGCCTCCAATAAAATTAAAATGACTTGGAGTATAATCAATAGTGAAACTGGCAAGATGCAACTACACAACTGTAACTTTCAATTAAATTTTAACAATAATTTGACAAAATCTGATCAAGACGTTACCACGACTTTCGAACAATATTTTACCGACATTCCGAACTTGAATACAAAGACACTTAATTCCTTCCCCGCTGTCGCCGAGTCATTACTCAAACAAAATGTAAATGTCTGTAAAAAAGAACTTGCATTTCATAGAATATTATCAGGTGATATTGTAAAATATTTCAAAACTATTGATATTAAGAATACAGTAGATCTGTGGGAGAAAGTTATTGCGTCTATAATAGATGTGATCGCACCGCAAGTTGATATTAGTTTCAATGCTAGTATCGAATCTGGTGTGTTTCCTGATTTAATGAAACATAGTAAAATTATACCTTTATTTAAATCTGGCAGTACATTGGACCCCACTAATTTTAGACCTATTTCAGTACAGCCAACGCTCAGTAAAATTTTTGAAAAAAAAAATTCTAGATCAAATGTTAAGTTTTATTTAATGTAAATATATTACTCCATAACAATTAGTTTGGATTTACAAGGGGTCGCTCGACAACTGATGCCGGTGTTGAGATAATCATATGTATTTTCTGTGCATGGGAAAATTTAGAAGATGGTACATTTTGTAATCTTTCCAAGGCTTTCGACTGTGTTCACCATGAGACATTAATCAGGAAGTTACATCATTATGGTGTAAAAAACAAAGAGCTTAAATAATAGAACAATAATATAGAATAATAATAGAACGCAAACAGTTGTTATTAATGGACGCAGTTCTTCTGGATCGGTAGTATCTATGGGTATTCCTCAGGGCTCAGTTCTTGGTCCCTTTCTGTTCTTAGTTTATATTAATGAGACTTACCTTACTTAATAGGGAATAACCACGATATAGTATTATTTGCTGACGATACTTCGTTGATTTTCCGACTAAAAAAGCAATTATTGAAATATGACGAAGTGAATAATACTATATCGAAAGTAGTACACTGGTTTAACGTCTATAATTTGCTATTTGCTTTTGAACGGTAATAAAACGAAATGTATTAAATTCACTACACCTAATGTTAAAAAGGTGAATGCCAATGTGCTTTTAAATGGGGAGGAGCTGGGCCTTGTTGAATCCACTGTTTTTCTCGGTATTACAGTTGAAGCGAAGATTTAATGGGGCCCTCATATATCTAAACTGATAAGAAACTTAATTCTGCAGCATATACTCTGTAAAAAAGATTAGATGCCTTATGTGTTGCTAGATCATTTTAGTTATTTTCACATGGAACGTCATATGGAATCAAGTTATGGGGTAATGCGACTAACAATGAAACTGTCTTTGTTTTGCAAAACAGAGCCATAAGAGCAATTTATAACCTAGGTCAGAAGGAATCCCTTAGAGAAAAATTGAAGGAAATAAATATATTAACTTTGGCCTCTCAATATATTTACGAGCATTTAATGTATGTACACAAAAAAAGTTTTATTAATTCGGAAATGATTTATAGCGCATTATTATTTCATCAACCGAAATTAAAGGTTTTATTATTCTTTTCCGCTTGCGTCGACGGTGTTAAAATGCAAGTAGTGATTTTTTTTAAATCCATTTTGCTACTGCATTCTGTCTGTACTATGTACTAAAAATTATAATTAAAACCAACACGGTTCCGCGGATCTTCAAAGCTGGCGTGTCGACAACAGTCGCCGACGTGTCTACGGCAGTCGCCAGCATGTCTGCGGCAGCCGCCATCGCGTCGACGGCAGCTACCGGCTCGCGACCACGGCAGCAGTTACCCCTGACGTTGACAAAGTTCCGCTCGTCTATATGAGCACTAACTCATCAACGAAGCGCATTAACTTCATAAGAGTAAAATAACCAATGGTCGAAAACGACGGAATTTTCACATTAAAAGGGAGGATTTAAAGTAAAATTGATCTGTAAACCACATTGTATGTATTATTATTTGATCAAAGCGTGGGCAAATTTTAAGCACTCGATACTATCTAATATAATTCTTACCACAGTTAAAGTCGGACACTAGGACATAGTAATGGTCATAATAATTGTTTTCTTCAGCGGAAATTGTAGTCTTTTAAATAGAAATGGTAAATTATTTGAAAGAAGAGAAAAACATGCCATGTACAGCATTGAAAGGCTTATGTACAGTTCAAACTAAATTTTATTAAAGTTTGATAAGCGTTTGCACTAATTTTCGTTTTAGTAAAGGAATTGTGCTGTAGATCTATCCCACAGAAATCATGCATTTTGCCGGGATAAAAAAGTAGTAGTCTATGAAATTGCTTAACTATCTCTATGTAAAAAATCATGTTAGTCCGTTGCTCCGTTACCGCGTGCGAGAACAAACCAACGAACACACTTTCGCATTTATAAAGTAGCTTTTTTATGATGTTGACAATCGGCATGCAATCTATACTTCACCTCGCTTAGCAGATGGATTAGTGAGCGAGAGCCGATATCCTCGTATATTAGTAATGATGTACGCCATCATCAGTACGTGATTCAGTGTTTAGGAATGGATATTATACAAGAAATTGCAACCTTCCCTTCAGAAAACGGAATTAAATGAGATGTTTGGATAAGATTCTTGGCTGTATTAAATAGATGTTAGTCTTTGATTTCAAGAACTTTTTAATGTTGTGTTTTTTCAATCTTTTAGCACTAATACAAAACCTAATTAACACATTTGAAAATGTTCGGAATAAACACAAATTTTATTGACGACGCAAACAACTTCCGAAGCGCAGCTTGCTAAGCTAAGCCGCAGAGACCCTTTTTACTGGCAAAGAGGCATTCCATCTTAGTCCTCACGGGTGACAACGAATCTGCATCTTGAGTCTTTATTGAGGATAGATGTAGATGTCTATGGGTCACAGTAACCACTTACCATCAGGTGGACTGTGTGCTCGTTTGTCACCCGATCCTATAAAAAGAAAAGTGGCGTACTAATGTTGACTAAATAAGCGTTGTAAGAAAATTAATTTTGCAGATTTGTCGCGGAATTATATTCCTCGGATTCTGCACTATCCTGAGAATTAAAACTTAAGCAACTCGTTAACATCGTTAATACATGACCTATACGAAATTGCAAGTTTATACTAAATTGCTAGAACATTTAATACCATAAATATATTCCTAATATGTTTAATCTTCCGTCCATGTAATCCGGGAGCTGGGCTGTATTTGGGAGC